CTTCAAGTTCTGAGTGAGTTATTTCAAAATGCATTCAATTCTACCAAGACAGAAATGGTACTTTTCACAACGAAGTATAAAACCGCTTATTTCAACCTACCACCCTAAACGGGGTGGCACTTACTCTCTCAATCGAGGTCATTTACCTTGGAGTTACTCTAGACAAGAAACTGGACCGCTCCAGCAAGGCCAATACCACCCTGTATGGCTGTAAGATGGCTATAGGCGAAACATGGGGAATAAAACCACATATAGTACACTGGATGTACACAGCTGTGATAGGACCCATCCTCTTCTACGGGGGCACCGTATGGTGGCCTGCGCTAAACAACACCTTGTCCAGAGCCAAGGTGGAACGAGTGCAAAGAGGGGCTGCCATGCTCGTCACGGAAGAACTGCCCACTACATGGAAAGCCTCCGATGCGAACGCTGTTTCGCGGTCAGACGTAAGGCGGACTGGCTCAGTTGGTTGGTGGTTCAGTTTTTGCACTCCTTAACGCTTTCAGTAGCACATATTTGCTGAAGGCACAGACAATAACCAAAATGTAAGCCTAGCCCCTTTCGCTTTTTGTGAACGGGCCCAAGTGATCGATGTTGACAGTTCGAAATGGTATCGGCAACACTTCGAGAACATGAAGCTGACTTTCCGATTTCCCTCCCTTTACCTTAAATAAACAACACTCTTCGCGTGTGTTTAGGTACGATTTTACATACCTCCTAATTATCAGGAACTAGAGCCGTCTCCCAATGCCTTCTCCATGGAAAAATGACCCACGTTATCGTCGCAGGCTTTGGTTATTTGCCACCGTACCGCTCATGGAATCATCAATTTAAGTTGTCCTTTAACGTTGTGGTACAATCGACATTGCTGAGTTCTATATTCGCTGCGTATATGTTTTTCTTCAGCTACGTTTGGGGACGCGTTGCCTTTTAGCATGTCAGCAATTCGCCTAAGCTTTTCCAAGAACGAAACACGTACTGGATCGCTACATAGCAACTTTACATCTAAAAAGTGTAATTCTTAACAGAAATTTTTGAAACACGAATTTTCCACAATCTGGCAGCTTGGTTCGTAACCAACTGTTGACGCGATAGAAATAAATGAAGAAAAATTAACTAAGTATATGTGTCAAATGCAATTTGCATTCGCTCCCAAAAACAAAAACAATAACAAAATATGTATGTATGAATACAGTTGTGCCATTAAATAGAAAGCTACGGCAATAAACAACAACAAAAGCCATAAACAAGTGGAAAAAGTATTAGTAAATGAAAATCAGACGCGCGCCGGGCACACATTTCTTCATTGAAGCCACTATGGAAGTGAACTTGTCAGACGAGTTTTATGTCAACAGCATCGCTGACAATGCCGCAGCTGCAGCTGAAGCGTTGCAACTGGGATGGTGCGAAGGCAGCTGACGGATGCAATGGGCGGCGGGCATAACTGTGCCTAAGATGACTTGCGTGCCTACAAAATGTACGCGTGTGCACACATACGCCTGTGTACATACATACATATATGCACATACCAGAAAATGGGCCTATACATTAGAGTGGTTAAAACAAAAAAATAATTCCGAGATAAGGTTTGAGGCACCTTCGAAAATGTTTCCTCTTGCCGAAAGAGGTGCTGGCACCAAACTTAAATTCAAATTTAAATTAGCTAAAAAATATTAACAAGCTTCAGTGTTATGACAACAGTAGCTTTTTATAAGAATCTCTAATATTTTTGTCAGTTGCAAAGCGATCCAGTAGCGTATTTCAAGGTCATTGAGCTACCCGCTCAAAGGCAATGATGAATAGACGAGTAGCAGCTCTGAAACGCTTAAACTTCTCATGCAGATGCACTTTCCTGATTGCTCCGACACCAGAGGCTCGAATAATTCACATATCACTGTCCCAGATGGGGAAAACCCTCTTATCACTATTTTTGTTGGTGCATTAAGGAAGCTATTTGCAGCTTCTCTCCCTACAAGTCACCTGGTGTCGATGGTATTCTACCCATCGATTTTCAGAAAACAATGCATATAGTTGTTCCAAAACAAAAAGCAATTTATCGAGCGGCCATCAGCCTCGCCTATATGCCACAAAGATGGACGCAGGTAAAAGTTATATTTATAAGCGGGTAAATGTTCGAACACGAAACCCTATGAGTTCAGACCAATAAGACTCTCGTCCTTCCTACTGAAGTCACCAGAGCGCATATTGGAACCAAAATTAGAGAAATAGTTGGTCCGAAGCTCTCTACTTCCCGGCATGCATACAACAAAGGTAAGGGCGTAGATACAGCTCTACACAGCCTTATCTTCGACATCGAAAAATCTTTGCATCAGAAAGAATATGCCCGGTTTGTCTTCTTGAATATTGAAGGTGTTTCCAATAATATTAGTCCGGTTGCAGTCATTTTACCGCTCCGGGAACTTGGACTTTATAACACGCTGGTAGCGTTTGTCAACAACCTTTTCCGAGATTGGGTTATAAACCCAGAACTAGAAGACTCCTCCGTCAAAATGTACGCGGTAAGGGGAACCCCCAGGGACGTGCGATCTCACCTTAACTATGAAGCATTGCCGTTGTCAGCTTTCTCAGGTTAAATATCAAGGTCTAATTCTAGATAGGAAATTAAATTGGGGACCTGACATCGATGAAAGGGTTCGAAAGCCACAACTGCCGTATACCCTTGGACCAGGGCTATTACCAAAAACTGGCGTCTGGAGCCCAACATTGTAACACGGATCTACACCGCGGTGCTAAGACCGATTATTTTCTACGGTGCAGTAGTTTGGTGGGATTCTCTCAATAAAACGGTTAGCGTTAAGAAAATGGACAAAGTTCAACGACTGGCTTCTCTACTGATAACAAGAGCCATGAAGACAACAGCCACCAAAGCGCTCAACACGCTACTAGAATTTCTCCTGACTGAACTATATGCGAGAAAGATGGCATGTAGTACACCGCAACTAGGCTCAACGCTATCAAGAAATGTACACATCCACTTATCGGTCACTGTAAAATCTTGAAGGACCTTACTCAGTGGCCTAAATCCCAGCCACCCACACTTCCAAGGCTGGGTTCACGACCCTTCTTCCCTCAAGGGAGGAATGGTCAATGGACGCAGTCAGGAAAAGAGGATAAATCCATGTCTACACGAACGGATCAAGGCTCGAAAAAACAGTTTGTGATGGGGGGTGCATTGGAAACAGTTAGGCTTATCGTTCAGCTTCCGCCTTCATGACTACTGCAGTGTTTTTGTGGCGGAACTTTTGGCTATCTCAAAGGTCGCATCACTGTTGCAGTGTGATACGATTCCTCATTAGTCATGATGTCTACATCTTCACTGACAACCAGGCGGCAATTAAATATCTGGGAAATATGTCGCTGACTTCAAAAGTAGTTGCTTAATGCCGCCGATCTCTCAACGAGATGGCTGAGACATTCAGCACACACGTTGTCTGGGTACTTGGCCATTGCGACATTCAGAGAAACTGCAAGGCTGACGAACTCGCGCGTCATGGAACGACATTACCTGATACTGACATAAGATATAATCTCCGCGTCCCTCTTCATCCTTACAAATTTTTACTAAATGAAAAATTCATAGAAGTTTACTAGGCGCACCCTGGAACGACTGCTGCAGAAGCTGCGTGGATGAAAACAAATAGGAAACCATCACACATCTTCTCTGCGAATGACCGGCTCTGTCAAAATAGAGAGAAAAAGCTCTTAGGAGCCATTTAAGCTATGAACGTTAGAAGCCTTAGCACATTTTTGTAAAGCACCAAGTGGTTTACCGGGGAACGGGGATAATTAAAAGACCTCATGCGGTATCACAAAGGACCCTGAGTCTAAGTGAGTCCTACTCTGGACTCACGCCTAACCTACCCTACTTAAGAGGGTGCGGTGCCCCGTTTTCTACGATGACATTTTTCCCCCATACAAAAAGTGGACCACTTTAATGTACATTAGACCGTATCACAAAAACAGTTAAATTTGTTGCAAGTGATTTTGAACCTAAGTATAAGGGTATTTCGAGAGTGTAAATATTTTTTTTCGGCACGCGGTTAAAATTGATAAATAGTTTTTTTCTATAACTTCCTTATTTGATATCTGATTTCTATAAATGATAAACGGTGTTGAAGAAACGATGATCCTGTCAGGCCAAACTAAAGTTATACTTTTTCTTCCGAAAGTGGCACCCTATAATCAATAGTAAGAAGCTCAAAAATACATCCCTTTGATGAAAAACGCCTTGATTTTATATCTACATATCCGGAAAACTTAAAAGCCATGCACGATACAGCCAACTTGAATCCCGAAGTGATTTACTTTAAGGAAATATATACTTTCCAGTGAACTCTTACATAATTACCAGTAGTTTGCTGTTGTTTAACAAAACTGAGCTTATTTTCTGACACATAGTATTAGGTACAGGGTGTAATTTTTAGACAAATGAACACAGCTTCCACAGTTATGTAGGATGTATAGATATTCAACTGTAAGTTTTCTTAATACACTTACAACGACGTATTGTGCTGGATTTACACTAGGCAATTAATGGCACACATTTTAATTACAAACTTGGGCATTAAAAAATATTATTGTCATAGTTAAAAAGTATTATTTCCACACAGGATTTTTTAAATGCCTCCCATTTTTTGTCATTTCAATAACTTGCGGAAATTCGGCATTCCTTATAGAAATCGGACATTACATAAAAAAGTGTTTTTACAAGGGGCTGAAAAAAATTCCACTACTGAAAAACTCTCATAGTGAGTGTTCAAAATAGCTTGAAACAAATTGAACTTTTTTTTGTTGGTACGGCCTAATGTACATACATAAATATTTATAATTCGTTTTGTCGCTTTATCGGCCGTGTTTGGTTTTTTTTATAATTTTTCTTCTCTATTTTTTATACTCGTATGCAATATTATTTTTGTTTTCTTTTTTTTATTGAATTCCATTTTTTTCACCACTTAACTTGTATTACTTGAATTTTCTAGCTCAAACAAGGCAGCAGCAATCGCTGGACGCGATACATGCAGTGTTGGTGAAGAAAATTAATAAACACAACAACAAAAGCAGCAGCACTGAGCATATCTCGCAGACAACAAAAAATAAAAATAAAAATAACGATGTAACAACAGTCTTGCTGAATCGGGAATCTGGATTCTGAAATAAAAATGCACGCATAAATTACACAGACACTTGCAGAACTCGCGGAAAAAAGAAAAATGAAGTTGCCTACTGGAATTTGTTGCAACTACCAAATTTAGTAAGAAGTGGCAACAATAAAAACAGAAAAGGCAACAATCAACCAACAAAGCAAAAAAAATATATACAAACTCAATCAATGTATGTTGCAGCATATTCAGCAATGGAATGCTGGTAATTTGTGGCAGCTGAATGCACTACCGCGCTACCGTCTTCAGCACCTACACATACATATGTACATACATATGGACACACACATATACATTATCTTCTGCTTCAGTTAGCCAGCGTTTCGCGCAACATTGCCGTTGACCGGAAAATCAACGTCAACAACATTGACGTGCGCAACATTGAATGGCATTGCAACAGTGTTGTTGTGTGTCTTTAACTTGCGCGCCGACTGGTTAGCCTGGGAACCAGTGTAAAATGTTGCATGTTGACCAGAACAAAAGTCAAAGCCATAAGTTATTCAATACGCATATCAATAAAGCACATAGCAACAATAAAAGATAAATAACAACAAGTAAACGGCGTACATATATATGTATGTATATAAAAATAAAGCTGTAAAAATAATCAACAAAAAGAAGAGAGTAAAGCTCCACTGCCACTGCCGCCGCCAATATGGAGGAGGACGTGTTGAACGCACTGCAAACGCGTACGGCCTACTTACCTGGCGGCTATGATCGCACCGGCAAAATCATCGTTGTTGTTAATATCATCAATGATTTACAACTGTGGAATCGCAGATGTTTGGAACTATCGATTGCCTACTTAAAACGTGCTTTGAGGTGAGTGTTTTTTGCCCTCTTTTTTGAATGGCGTTTTTTTTTTGTTTTTTTTTGAAGAAGAAGAAATTCCCACATAATTATTTTACATAAGTATGTGCTTATCCTGCACGTGTGCGTAAATATATATTCGCGTTTAAATATGAGCGTTTTCATACATATGTATGTATGTATGTATGCACTTGGACATACCAATTGACACAAGAGGCTGTATGCATGCTGAGAATACGTAAAAAGTGAATGGTTAATCGAGTTTTTAGTGATCTTTTTAAATACTTTGGCAGCAGAAATGCTCCCTTACTAAGCATACTACCTTGAGAGGTTTATAAAATTAATTTGTTAAAATTAAATTAAAATTAAATTGCGTTTTTGGAAAAATTAAATAAAGAGCACAAATGAAGAAGGCTAAGTGCGGGCGAAACTGTTTTTTGGCCTTTTTGAAAAATCGCCGTGACACGTTTTTTCCCCGATTTTAATTATTTTCGATAATACGATAAAATAGGTTAAAACGAAAAATTGGGCCGAGTTTGGAAGATCTTCTATATAAATAGACAAATGCTTTCTTTACATCCCTTTTACGTCTAAACTATGCTTCTTAGGTATAAACGATTATATATTTATCATTCGAAAGGTATTTTGATGGGGAAGTGTAGAATCTTAATCGAATTTGAACGGGACACTTGCAGATCGACCAGCCATTTCATCTGCCGATCGACTTTAGTGTCTCCCACGCAGAGATCAACGCTGCAGAGAAGGCGGCTGGCCTTTTGCTGAATAGCGCATTTCCAGACGGGAAAGCTACTATCTTTGTTGTTAGTCAAGCAGCTTTGAAAGCAACAGGTATCTACATAAAATGGGTAAATCGGGGATTGCATGGAAATGTCGTACCACTTTAGCATCATAGAGCCATATCAACGCCACTGTCTGTTGAGTCCACGGACATAATTAGCAATACTGAAGGGAAGAAGTCGGCTGATAAGTTGGCCAGGTATTTCACTGAGATGACAATTAACGAAGCGGATAACTCTCAACATAGCCGTTACTAAAGTACCGCGCAACAAGCGGGAACACTGTGAGATCTAAAGATTATAATGACCATGGGTTAGTAGGAAAAATACAGAAGAGCTCCTAAAACTTAATAAATCTGCAGTAGGAGTACTTACCTGCGTCGTCAAGGGTCATTCTTTTATTTCAATAATGCTCCAATGATGGTGAAACCCCATCTCTGCAGAAGCTGCCGCAATGAGGATGAGGGCGAATCAGTTGATCGCTTTCTGCACTTGGTAATGCGCCGGGCTTTTTCAAACAAACCATTTGATCTCTAAACTTAAGTGGCTTTCAAAATCGAAATCTATATAAATGGCAAATATTAATACTTAAGTGTAAATATGGAGAAAATGGAAAAAAATGCCGCAAGTGAGTTAGTTTAAATGAGCCTCAAAAGAATATTTTCCAGACAAGTATGTAAATAGATTAGGGTGCATCACTCTCCATAAAAAAATAAAAGTACGGTGTTTCCATCGGAAATATAAAACTTTTTATATGTAGTTTAAGACTTTCTCCAAAATATTTATTATTTTTAGATTTATGTAAGCTGCACCTATTAATAAGATTAGTTTTCAAAAATATTTTCAAATTTTTTTCTAAAAAGATCACCTTAGATGATAGAAGTGTTTAAGCATAAAAGGCCTGCAATAAAAAAATATTTACGAATTTTATCAACGGCATAAATATAATTAAGAGTTATAGCTCACGTAAATTTTAATATTTTCCCGAAAAATGCGCCACTTATTTTAGTGATGCACTCTAATGCAGATAATTATCACAAATGCTGTATTTCATGCTTTTTCAATCGATTATGCGCTCTTCTCTGTAGCCTTTCGTTAAGCAAATTAACAGCTTAAATACTGTTATTAAAATGCCAGTAGCGGTATATAGACTGTAATTGCTGAGAAAATATAGTGAGGAAAGCTTTCAAGTTAACTAATTTTTTTGAGATTAAAATTGATGACCTACGAATATATTTGTTCTTGTTTGTTTGTTTTTTTTTTCGTTTGGTGTTCCAGCGCTGCTATCTTGCAACGAGGCGTTACTGTCATTGTGGATGCACAGAAAAGTACAACGCGCATCACTCGTACGCATGCGCGTATCATTTATGCGCTCTTCGATGATATTACAGTCAATTTATTTCTAGTCAGAGCAGAGGGTTTCTGGGAGAAGCATGTGGAGACGTGTACAAGCAAGTCGCAGGCAAAGGGAGAGGTAAGAAATGATTTGCATAAATTGAGAGATATTAAAAAGTGATTCAAAAAAAAAATAGAGAAAGTAGTCTCGTTCTACAAATTAATAAGCATAATTAAAAATGCAAATAAATATATGCATTAAATTTAATTTTATGGCACTTCATTTTCTTTTTATTCCCACAATTTCAGCCCATTGTATTGTCGAAGGCGCGCTTAATAAAATATTTCGACCTGTCGCAATTGCCGGAGGAGTTAGGTGGCACTTTGTCATTTAACTATGATTTATGGCTGCAGCAGAGAAAGGTAATTGGGAAACGGTTTTTATGAGAGCAATAAATTATAATTATGTAAATACATATATATAAGTTTATTAAATTTGGTTTGTGTTAAGTTGTATATTAAAATAATATGAATTAAAATATTTTTAACAACAATGCAAACACATTCGTTTATCTAAATTCACTTTATTCGCTCTATTTTGCCTCCCATAGGCCATTGATGAATTCCAAAAGACTTTTGATTCCACACTCAACAGCATGGAAAACTTGCATGTAGTGCTGCTGAATAATAAATCATTGCGGCCAGCGGAAGCGGATGTTGAGCTAAAGAAATGCGCACAGCTGCATACAAGCGTACAACAACAAATCGAAGTGGTCATAGAATTGGGTAAGCTGATAAAGAGTGCATTAAGTAATGCCTATTAGGAAAGAAAAAAAATGCGTTTTATGAACTTTTTATAGCCTCAGATGCGGCTACTTTAGTTAAGACGTCAGACGCACGCCCGACTGATTTAAGTTAACATAAATTAAATGCTTTTAAAAAAAGTTGTGTGATATATACTTTTGCGGCAATTAAAAATTCAAAACGTAAAAGCTTTGATAAACGGGTTGTGGCACAGCAACGGTGGCTGCTGCGAAGGTCTGTGGAAAACAAGTTTGTCGCTTGAGTCTTTTGTTTTTCTGTGTGAGAAATTGCTAGACAATGCATGGCGGACCACCATGGCTTTGAAGTGAATCTTAGTTAATTAATGAAAAATTATGAATAATTTATTCGTTTTTACAGCTAAATAGCTTTTAAAAAGGTTTTCGGCTTTTTGAGTGAAATATGCGAAAAAATTTAAATTAGCGAATTTGAGTAGCAAAAATGCACAAAACGGAAATAAGACAAAGTAGCGGCTACTTAATCTTCAGCATAATATTTTTAGACATATTTATTTCTTTTTATGATCAGTTTTGCATAATGCTGCTATAAGTAAATCTGTAAGCTTATGAGTTGGGCCTTCAGCAATTTATGCACTCGTTGAAAAATACGCACAAAAGAAAGAGGCCAAAGGCATTTGATATGCCCTTTAACCATATATGTAGTACTTTGTTGCATTGGAACTACATTCATATGTATGAGTGTATGTATAAATATACATGCGTATTGTGTATGCAAATGGCTCACGTCTGTAGTAAATATGTACATACCTGCGTAGTATCATATTCGCCATACGCTAATGATTTTGATTGCGACATTTACATTTCATCATTGAATATGACTTTGAGTGGCAAACTAGTTGGCAGTTACAATATTGAAAATAAGTAAGAAAGTAGAAAAAATTGCGAATAAAACATAATGGTTGTGACAATTGTGTTTGTAATGGTAAAGGTGATAGAAATGGCAATGGAAGTTTGGAAAGAAACTAAAGACCAACTTTGCCAGGTTGGCGCATGTGGTTAGTATGTTTTTTTTTAAATAAAGTTTTAGGTTTTTGGAAAACCCGAGATTACCGGCAGTAAACATTCTTAAAGTTCTTTGGTTTAATAACCGCATTGTAATATTTCATTTATTTTAAAAGTCTAATTGAATAAAGCCTTTCAAACAGGTGGCAACCCTCTTAAAAATATTTTCGGGAATAAAGTTACCTAAACCTATTTAGTTTGATACCCCAATTTGCAATACTTTTTTATATTAAATTAAAAATTTCAAACAGATGATAACCTTCCACAAAAATATTTTCGGCTATAAGCCCTGTTAAACCTCTTTCTTTTGACGGCCATACTGCGATATCTCCTTCATCTAATCAATGTTCTTAAATTGCAATTTTCAAACAGGTGGCAGCTATCTAATTATTATTTTTTCTAAGTTCTAAGTTTTACCGCTAGGAATACACCAGTGAAAACTGTATTCAATTCCATTGATTTTGAGTGATGCGTGTACAAACATACAGATCCACAGACAAAAATTTTTTAAAATTTTGATTTGGCTGCTGTTGCTCTAGTAAAGACCTCCCATATAAAGTTTTCTTTAATATCTATAATGTACATACATCGGCCGGTTACAATTTTACTAAGCAGAGATCACACGATTTGTATATTTGTACGGATTTGTACATTTTAATAGTCACAGAGTGGTGTTGTCTAGAAATTTGTATCGAAAATAAAAAAAAATCCACTCTGTATTTGTCAAAATATACAAATATTTATAACTGTACAAATCGTGATATACCGAAATATTTTTCACTGAAAAAAATTACTTAAAAAATAAAAGGAAAACATAACGAAAATTTTTCCCTTTTTTTTGTCGTAGCAGCAGTGAATCGACTACATGTTGTGGGGAACTGTTTTTTTTTTCGAATTGCCACTTTTCGCATAACTCGAAGACCCTACCACTTACCCATCATCTACTTAAGTAATACATGTAGATATGTCTGTATACATACATACATAGCTTTTTAGCTTCACTATTTGTAAGCAATGTTATTCAATACTTACTTTCCTCTACTCTAAGCGAAACACCAATTTCCACTTAACTTTTTCAATGCAATATTGGCTACGCAAAGGAAAGTTTAATGCAATTTCAACACACTTGATTTCTAGACTATGCAGCTACCGTAGTTCACCTTTCACCTGCAATGGAAGATAGAAAACAAAAGTACTAGAGAATATGAAAGTGCGAGTTGAAGCGTTTACGCTATCACGTAGAAAAGTAATTGTGCTCTGTGGTCTACATAAATACTACACAGGAAAAATGTGTGCTTCTACAAAATTCAGTAAAGTTCATTTGGCTCATTTAAATTCAACGTTTTGTTTTTCTCCTTTTACATTTGCAGGCAATCGCGTATTAAATCGATTGGCCGAGGCGTATTCACCCCCCAAACTAGTCTCAGCTCATTCCCATTCATCGAGCGAATATTTACCCGTACAAAATCAAATGCCAAACACATCCACTGTCATAAATATAAATGCCGTATCTTCGCTTTCCTGCCACGATCCAAATGGTAACAGCTTTCAGTCACCTTCGAATGCCACCTGCACCTCAACCAATTCGCCCGCTGCACGCTTGTCCCTGCCGCCGGACCTACAAAGTGCACGCGCACGCATCGAACTTCTGCTTAATCAAATCGAACGTAAGCAAACCGAAATACGCACCGCGTGGCTGGAACTCTTGCAGAGCATACGTGAAGCACGCGAACTGACACATCTGGAAGAGGGTGTCGCCTTCGTTACAAATTGGATTCTACAGACTGCCGAACAGCTGCTCAGTCGCCAGTATAGCATTGGCGGTGATGTGCACACCTGCGAGACGTTGCGTACCGCACACGATGCACTCGAGCTGGAGTGCCGCGAAACGTATGGCTTCTATGCGGAATTGCTGTATAAAATCGATGCATTCGCCGGGTTCAAGGATACATACGCCTATAAGGATTTGTTGTCGCAGCGTGATTTCATGCAATTTGTGTGCCGCTCGTTTGCTACACGGCTTGAGCGGCGTCGGAATGTGCTCATCACATCGTTGCGGTTTTTTCGACTCGTCAGCGAGTATTTCGATCGGACGACTGCGGTTTTCGAAACACTAGTCATGGGAAATAAGATAGCAGAGGAGAATTTCGAGGTGGCAGCGGAGAATTTGCAGCAATTGAAGGAGAGCCAAGTGAGTTTAGGTAAGTTGTTAAGAAGGGGGGATTGAGATTGAGTGGTGAAGGGCGGTTAAAGACAAATGTTCATATGTAGCTACGAATCATAAATGAGTACATATGAGTATTTATATGTGTATGTATGTATGTTACTGCTTAACCAATAATACAGGTGAATGCGAATGGTAGGAAGCTCGTTGGGGGCGGGGGATAACTTTATTGAAAGTGGATACAGCTTTAATAAAGTGACAATGCCGACAAGGCCACGATACAAAAAAATGTGTGCGTACTTTTAAGTGTTTCCATTAAAAAATACCAACCATAAGCCTATTTATAGCGCCAATTAAGCAGAAGAAGATTTGAACAAAAACCTGGTAAGTCCAAATTTTAAACTTTGTACCGAAAATAAAAAAAAACCGGTGCTCATTTGTGTCATAAAAAGAAAAAAAGACGTTTCTATGCTGCAGCAAATGTTTTTATAGGGCACTTTAAAATACTTTTACCGATGACGACCGGGCAACTGATATTCTGGATTTAGTGATTTCACCAACTCACGGAATCCCTCATCTTCTACGATGCTAAATGACTGCAGATCCCTTATAAAAAGCATAGGCAGTGCACCACCGATCGCTTTATTTGTTTTCGCAGGCATTTTTGCTCTATGACTAGAAGAAGATAATTTGTCGTAAAACATTGTCGCGAGCTTGTAAAAAAGTATCAGTTGCCAAGCAGAAAAAGTATCAAAAGCAAACACCTCTGTTATTTTTTTAACTTTTATTTGAAAAACAAAAACATAAAATTTTATAATTAAATCCGTAGTTACAAAAAAAAAATACATATTACTTGCTTTAACAAAAACAGAGAATCTGTATGCTTATTTTATAACGAAAACCCAGCTTATAGGGCCCCTAAACCACACAAAATCATTGCGCAACCCGAGACGAGTCAATATTGTGGAAAAAAATAATATTAAAAAAAAAATATTTTTTTTTCTACGCTCTTAACCATATTTTACAGCACGATCTGGACACCAAAATTAAAAATAGACTAAAAAGGATCAGTCCAGCGCCTTCGTCTTGACCTGCGGGCTGTGTCGGAGCCAGAGCCGCTAAACTTAAACGCTGAATATGTGATATTATTAAGACCACATTCAAGTTAAAAACGGTACATGATTGTTTAGAATTGAATTTTATAGATCAACATGAATTGCAAAATATTAGAGAAGCAGATTCGCATTAACTTCAATCATATCGATTCATTTTAATAGGTCCCCGTTTTAGTATTCACCTTCGTGTTCGTGCTCGTCTTCGCATTATCTTCGTCTTCGGATTTGTGCATAAGTTAGCTAAGACTTCTGAAACAGCTGGCAATCCTCCTAAATATAATTAAGAAATAAACAAATCTCTTGGGTCTGATATTGTGATACCTACATAAATATTTTATGTTCCTGATGAATTAAGTTAAATTTGATTTTTTAAATACGTGACAACGCTCCTGAATACAGTTCAGAAATAAAGCCTTTCATTTGATACCCATATTTTTAATAGTTGCTTTAAATTATTTGAGTTTACCTTTTTAAGCAGGTGGCAACCCTCTTTGATATTCTAAATATTCAAACTAAGGATATCTTACCACCTACGTTTCACGTCATATTTTAATATTTCACTTAACTTATGCATACTTTAAGTAAATTCGATGGCAACCCTATTCAAAATATTTTTAAACCGAAACCTTGTTAAACCTTTTTAAAATGACATACATATTGCGGTACATATTTAAATTGTGTATCTAATTCCCTTAATTCAAGTTGAGTTTAATTTCTAAGGCATATGGCAACCCTCTTAAATAAAGAAAAAAAAAAACATTTTCAGCCCATGTCAATTTGTACCCATTCCTCAGTAATTCATTTGTCTTATTAAATAATTTGAGTATATCATTTTACACAGATGGAAATCCTCTTTAAAGTTAAAAATGCTAAAACTAAATATTTCTTAAAACTGCTTTGTTTGACGCCAATATTTCAATATTTCATATAATTTAATTTAATTCGAACTTTCAAACGGTTGGCAATCCTGTTCAAAATATTTTTAAACCAAACCCTCGTTAAAACTTTTTCGTCTGACACTTGTATTTTGATACATATTTAAATTATCTAATACTCTTAATTCAAATTGAATTTAATTATAAAATCAGGTGGCAACCCTCCTACAAGCAGTTTGCAAATAAAGTTTCTTCACAGCAATTTTGATTTATATTCATATTGAAGTAATTTATTTAACCTATTGCTTATATTGAATCTAATTGGGAATTGGGACCAATTGGGAGGTAACACCTTACCTAAAAAAAAATAAATATAGCAAACGTGGTTATGCGGTACCATACATTAAAAAAAAACTATATTCCGATAACCGTCTCCTTTTTGTAAAGTCGGTTAAAAATATATCAATTTTGAAAAAATATAGCAACTTTTATTTTCCAACTTAATTTTCAGAAAAATCTGAGCCCGACCCGATCCCCACATTTTACCAGATTTCAAAAATGTACCAAATCTGAATGTTATGCACTAGTGTATTGCAACCGTGCTCACAGAAATGTTGACGATGTCCAAGAATGATAGAATGTCTCCCTACATCGTGGACGATGTCGATCCAAAATGAGAACGCTTTGTGTGTCGTCGAGAGAATCACTCGAATTCAAGTGTAATTTTTTACATACGATTACTCGGTTTTCCTTTTCTTTTTTTATACATCTGTACTGTAATGTTTGCTGACTGCACTTGTAGATAATGCCAATATAGAAGTATTACATACATATATGGGTTGCATATATGTATATACATACGTACATGCATATATACATATGCAAGTAAATATGTTTTCTCTTTGTTATTCAGCGATTTTTTTTAAATATTTTTACAAGCAAGTTAGGTAACATTTGACACCGACTGTTGTTGCAATCGACATTTGCATTTGAAAATAATTATACATAAGTGTACAAGGTACCAAAAATCCCGGGATTCTTGGCAAATAATCCCGGGATTTTCGGGATTTGTAATTTGCACTGATGGCAACAATAGAAGTTCCTTTTCTTGACCAGTACNTACATATGCAAGTAAATATGTTTTCTCTTTGTTATTCAGCGATTTTTTTTTAATATTTTTACAAGCAAGTTAGGTAACATTTGACACCGACTGTTGTTGCAATCGACATTTGCATTTGAAAATATTTATACATAAGTGTACAATGTACAATGTATGTACACTGTACATACATATTTATGTGCTAGGAATGTTAAGCCCGGGATCCCGGGAGCCTTTTTAGGTACCAAAAATCCCGGGATTCTTGGCAAATAATCCCGGGATTTTTGGGATTTGTAATTTGCACTGATGGCAACAATAGAAGTTCCTTTTCTTGACCAGTATTGGCTATATTTCTTTTTATTTATTTAATAATTAATATTTTTTTATTTAGCAGTAAATTTTACACACAAAAACAAATATATTCGCAAAACCATGGACCAAAAATAGTAAAATTGCGTGTTTAGTTTTTCACTCTGACGTCAGTAATTCAAAAATGATTTAAAAAAAAATCGGTAAAATGTAGATGTATTGATATCAAATTAAAGAGGAAATTCTGTAGAATTTAAACGTATTCAAGTTTTCTTTGCATAAGGACGTGTAAGTATTGAAAACGTCCTTTTAAAATTTTATCCGTGAAATTTCGCAATATTTGTTTTTGAAAGAATTAAAGACTTATATAAACTCGATGATATGCTCGAATTTCGTCATGTTAACTTTATCAGGTAAAAAAATCACCTATTCGTCCTTGTGAATCCAAAAAATTTAAATTTTTTAAATTCTAAAGATTTTTTTCTTTCATTTGGTACCCATATTTTTATTCTACATTGCATTGAATTTTCAAATAATTTTTGCAATTAACCATATCTTTGAAATAACAAAGTCCTTTGAAATAAATCCTGACGTCAGAGAGAAAAAATAAAAACGCCAAAAAATAGGCTGATTTTAGGGTAGAAGAATATAGAAGCAATTTTTCGAATTAAGTTGTTGAAAAGTAATGAATATCTAAATCCCGGGGTCCCGGGATTGTGATAACGACATTCCGAAAAGCCCGGGATCCGAAAAAACGAGAAAATAACAACCCTAATATGTGCATAAAAATGTATGTATGTTTGTGTAGTAGTACTTTATAGATATTGTAAATTATACGATTTACTCTAAACACGTTCAATAGCCATAGCGATACCCATGCCGCCGCCAATGCACAATGAAGCTATACCTTTTTTTACGTCTAATCTTTCTAGGGCATACAATAGCGTGACTAGAATTCTACAACCAGATGCACCTATCGGATGCCCCAGTGCAATTGCACCGCCATTAACATTGACTTTGTCGGAGTTTATGTTTAGACCCTTTAATACTGCAATTGATTGACCGGCAAATGCTTCATTTAATTCAAATAGATCAACTTCTTCCTTTGACCATTCAGCTTTCAGCAGCTTTGTAAAACAAAAAGAAAATATGTAGTTTATAACGCTATATTAGTTATTTATACTTCCAGTAATTACCACTGCTTCTACCGCGGTTACGGGTCCAATACCCATTACATCAGGTTCTACTCCAGTTTGCGCCCACGCAACAATTTTAGCCTTAGGTTTAACAGATCGTTTCTCTACCTCAGCGCCTGACATTAGCAACACTAACGCTGCACCATCATTTGCGCCAGAGGCATTTCCGGCTGTGACAGATCCATTCTAAAAAGTTGAATGCGTGTATTGAGCATTTAAAGTTAATTAATGCAATTAGCTTACATCAATAAAAATAGGCTTTAATTTTTTTAATAATTCCATTGTGGTACCAGTTTTGATATACTCATCCTTATCAAAAATTTGTGTTCCTGTATGCGTTTTGATTTCAACAGATACTATTTCTTTTTCAAAGAACCCATTTTTCTGAGCATTTTCAGCCAAGTTTTGTGAACGAACAGCATACTCATCTTGTTCACTCCGTGTAAGANCATGTAACATTGTATCTAACATTGTACCTGCACCCATTTTGATACCATTTCGTAAATGAATAACGTGTGGTGCCATAGACATGCTCTCTTGGCCGCCACAAATTACAATTTTAGAATCTCCAGCACGTATAGATTGATAACCTAAGGCCACAGTTCTGAAAAATACTGTTATGTGAATGAGAATTTAATCTACGGCAAAATGCTTTTTTACACACTTCAAACCAGAACCACAAAGCATATTTATATTGTACGCGGGAACAGTAATGGGAAGTCCAGCTTGCAGCGCCGCTTGCCTTGCGGGGTTTTGGCCCTGACCGGCTGTAAGGCTCTACATATATTTGCAAAAGAAAGCGATTTATTACATAAGCAATCTTATAACCGTATTTTCTTATCTCACTAATACTCACTTGACCAATTATAACTTCGTCCACATCACTATTTTCTACTTTGCTTCGCTTCAATATTTCTTTAATAACTATACTACCAAGCTCGGAAGCTTTCAATTCAGAAAGTGATCCATTGAAGCTACCTTTAATCAAAAATTATTGAATGAGTTCATATTTTAAATGTAGTTCTTTAAAGCTGTTGCTTACCAATGGCTGTGCGCGCAGCGGATACAATATAGACATCTCCCGTATTCACCATGTTACTAAGTACTCAATCAGATTCGTAATGAATATAAATTATTAAAACTACCCCAACACCACCTTGTTAAATACACCCTGCTAATGTGTGAGAGTGCTTTCACGTTATTATTATTATTTTTTTATTTTTTTGACGTTTTACGTTACTCCCGTTTCAACTGGCAGGGAGAATTATTTGGCCCGCTCAACGAGTACAGCGCCATCACCAATCGCGCATTTGTATGCTTTAATTCGTTATCTTAGCTTCCCTGCAGATCAAAATCTAGAGACTGTCTAGCAAAGCGCTAGTTCCGAACTACACTGCCGGAACAAAGTATTGGCACAGCAAATTTTTCACAATATATGCAAACATTTTTATTATAATATTTTTCCGCCAATTTTGTATATTTTTATTCTTTCTACAACAAAAAACAAAAAGATACAATTCCTAAACTTTGTCCAAAACTCGCGGAAATTCAGCAAATATTCGACATTTTACTTAGATTTTTTAGAACTGTTTTGAGTATGCAGTTTTGCAGCCTATTAAATTCTAGTAAAAAATGCAAGTTCGGAGTTAGTCAAAACTCGGATTGATTTTTGAGAATTTTTTTATTGAAGGTGTTTGCATTTTTTCCATATAAAGTATTTTCAAAAAAAAATTTGTGTATGGAAGAGACTGCGTGAAAAAAATTGCCAAAAATCTTTATTATAATAAAATTGATTGGGCCACAAATCTGTATACTCAAAAAAATTCTAAAAAATCTGATTAAAAAATTTAAAATTTGCATAAAAATTTGCTGAATTTTCGCGAGTTTTGCACAAGGTTTAGGAATTATAT